TCTTTTTAAAGTTTCATCCTGCTGTAAAAAACTATCTTCCTGGGATCCCTATTTCACAGGTAGCTCTTCTATGTATTTTCTTAACTGCATGAGCATTTTACTTGTCCTAACCTCCAGGCACAGCCATCTTTAAAAGTCAGTATTTCTCCCTCTGGCAGAAACTGTGGCTTGCCCAGAGTGAGCACAGCTGTCTGGCTCCGGAGTCCCTGTCTCTCTTGCAAACACCTTGGGGATGAATACAGCCTCTCTGTACCCATCCTCCAGTGGCCCATGAGCAGCCCACTGGGGGCCGTTTAGAAGCAGCAGCCATACAGTGAATTTACTTTCTTCCTGTGAAGCCCACCGGGCCCCAGGGATTGGAAGTGTCCTACAGCGGGGGAATGCAGGCGCAGCTAACCAAGCAGCAGCCACCAAGCAGAGCAAGTGCAACGTGGTTCCAGCTGCCAGTCTCCATGGAGATGCCCAGGGTCCCCAGCACTGCGGATGAGCTGGGTCTCTAGTCCCTTCAGCACTGCAGAAGAGAGATAAAGAAAAGCACCACAGTTCAACTTGTGCTGGTTTCAGCAACAACCATATGTATTTTAATATACTTTCTGGCCACGAAGTGAGAGTAGGAGCTCTGAGAGAAGAGTAGGACTTGGATCTGCTCGCCTGGGAGGTTGAAAGGCCCCAAATCCACCATCACAGAAGAATGGAGACTCTGACGTCCCAGGGCATCCCAGCCTCCACAGCCCTTCCATCCTCCCCATTACAGCGATGCAGACTTCCTAAAGGCCGCGTTTGTTAGGTAAGAAGGACACCGCGCATTCATCATCTCTCACGGTCACATCTTAGATGTGAAACAATCGTTTTTTAACAGGAAAGGGAAGGCCATAGGGGCTGACCAGTTTGAGACCTATCAGCTCTTCCTCCTGCAGTTTACACACACCAGGAGGACAGTTTGGGGATCTGCTCTGGCGGTGGGAGAAAGCCCTGGGGGCCTGAAGTCATCTCTTTAGACCAGAGCTTACAGATCTTCTTTATACCAAGATTCCTAGACTTCCCAAAGGGTGATGCAGACTTTGCCAGTGAAGAAATTACTTCTGATAAAACTCTGCCCTCAGGCTCCATAGCCCTTCTTATTATTTCCTTCAAATGTACTCTTTTGTGGAGCAGATTTTGCCAAAGAACTACAGCTACGGGCTTGCAGAGATTCAAGGTAGGAGACACAGGTTTAAGAAGAGAAAAACGTCCTATCCTTTAAAGTTTTCGTACACGCTGCCTTGACACCACAAACACTCCTGTGCGGGGCACTGTCGCTCCTACTTCACAGACATGGGCGATGCCGTCTTCGCTCCGGCAAGCTATGGTCGGGGGAAAACTGCAATGCAGAACCAGGCATGTCTCCGCAAAGAGAGGAAGAGGAGCCTGGCCAGTTACCCAATGGCGTGCACGCAACAGGCCGAGGGTGCCACACTCAGTGAGTCAGCATCGGACCGGCTTCCTGGGGCTGCCGGGAGGAGATGTGGACCCCGCCTGAGCACAGATTCCCCGGCAGTGCTCTGGTCTAAACGAACCCGCCACCTTCCTGGCCTACAGTTAAGCATGCTGATGCCTGGAGGTCAAGTGCTCTGGACACTTTCTGACACAGCCGGAGACAGCAGGGATGTGACCCCCCCATGTTGTGACCCCCAGCCCTCTGCTCCTTCCAATCACGGTGGCCTGTTACGTATCACAGGTGCTGGTAACAGAAAACACAAGGGCAGCCGCCACCGACTAGGTCCTCACTCAGTCCAGACTCCGGTGTTTTCTATGAATGATTGCATTTAGCCCTCAGAATTGCAAGCCACAGGTGGCTGCGGAAACAGAGGCTGCCCCGAATGTCCTCTCTCACCCACCAGGTTGTGTGAAAATCCCTGGGATTAAAGGTAAGCAGCCAGCAGGTCTATTCATCGTTACAGCCGATTCCACATACTCCAGCGGCTTCCCAAAAAGCATTTCAACAGAAAGGTGACACAGGTAATCTGCTCTTTTCTGTATCTTTGACGCTAGATTTTAGGATTCCCAGAAGAGTTAAAAGCCTTAAATGAGACAGCTTAAATCTACTTTTGAGACGTAAATATGAGATGTGATTGATAACTATGGTAACTGTTAACATTTTTAAAAATACATTACAGTAAAAGACACATTGCCATCAGTCTCTCTCAGAAACTCCGCCTCACTTTGAACACACGGATCCCATCACTCTCGTCACTGTCTGCAGCAGCTCTGGTGTCCTCTTTCCTGAGTGTCTTTAGTTGCACTGTCCTGGCTGCTTCAGCGATGTGAATGGATTTGAAATGTTTTCCTTTCACGGTCACTTGGGGAAGAGCTGGAAGTCACACAGATCCAGAAGCTGCGTTTTTACAAGCTGCTTTCCCATTGGACGGCACTTGGCAGTAGCAGTCATTGTGTTTCTGATGACATTTTATAAAGATACTCAGGAGAGAGGACTCTGGAGCAGGTTAGAAAGTGGCAGGAACAATGGGGTGAGTGTGTTCAAGGGAGGGGAATGAATGGCTATGTATCTTTTACTGCAATAATTTTTAAAAATTTAAACATTCAATGTATATTTTGATTGAATATGTTAAAGGGGGAAAATATCCATTACCCACGCATATATAAAATAAACCAGTTCTTTCAATAATAAAGCTATAATCCCTCAAATTGGCCATGCCGAGCACACCAGATAACGAGAGGGCTGAGGCGGTGTTGCATTTTCAGTGCCCCAGCCCCTGACTGATACTAAGGACACAACTCTTAGGCATCAGTGTCTTGCAGTTACTAAGAAGAAAAACTTGCTAGGTTTCTCAAAGTTAGCTGCACTTCAGGTCGTGGTGACATCGCTGGGTATTAACAGCACCTTATTCTACTGATATAATCGCCTTTCAAAGTCATGTCTGCTAGGCATGTTGGAGAACCTACTATCCATCAGCCTCTCCAGATTGCAGTTTTATTGGGAGCAAAGTTAGAGGTCATCTGAGATCTCTTACTTCACACCTTCTGTAGTGCACTGCTGACTGGACTGGAAAGGAACTCTGTTCCTCCTTTGCTCATGTCACCCTCCTTTGCCCTTGCCAGCTCTAGTTATCGCCACTCAGTCTCAAACACTTGACTTCCCCACCCCCACAAATCCCACCTTACAATCCTCATGCATTTATTAGTAGTAGGAATAAAGCAATTTTTTCCACACCAAGGAAACGTATGCTCTTGCTGTGAAGAGAACCCAGGACAGAGGACATTCACATGGCATTGGGGTGCACAATATGAGCTAAGGAAGCAGAGGGCATATCCCCACGGATTAATGTTCTTTAGCAACACTATGGTCATCTTGCGCTCGGGATTCTAAGCAGTTATAAACATACAACTAGAACTTCCGCAAACATCCACACTGAAGTGGCAGATATGACAACAACTTTTGCTTTTCTAATAATGCCAGTAAAGTTTGGCAAGGATTAAGATGCAGCTAATGCTCTGATTTTGAGATGCAGATGTAGATGGTTTAAGTTTGACTGAGGAGATCATGTTTCTTTTTTCCCTTTATTTAATGAATGAAGAGACACGCATTGTGAAAACCTTCTATTCTCCCAAACCTTTTTTTTGTGTGTGAGATAGGGTTCCCTATGTAGTTCAGCCTGGCCTTGAAGTCACTATTTACTGCCAGGTGGCCTCAAACTCACAGCAATCCTCCTGCCTCAGCCTCCCAAGTGCTGGGATTACAAGCATGCGCCACCATGCCTGGCCCTCTCCCAAACTTTTACCATAAAATATAAACACGTATGCTGAGGCCTCCCCTAGAGCCCCCACAGTAAAGAAAGTAAAGAAAAGTTATTTTCTATTTTACCTGGGAAGAGCAGTGATTTTCCCCCACTTCTCCACACAGAACCTTCTGGGGCCATTGCTGCCTCGAAGAGAAGCGAATCCTTCATAGGGAATGCTGGACGTGCCCGTGACGAACTGTCAACCAAGAGGAGAGAAGAAAGTGAAGGCGGAGGAGCCGTGTCCTCATGTGCAGCGCTCTCAGAAAGAGCAGTGGGGAATTCAGAGGACAAAAACTTCCCAGGTGCAGCTCGACCCTAACACTAGCGCGCTGGCAGACAGGGAGAAGAGCTCATGACACAGGGGGAGGGGCTGGAGGGCTTATAGGAAATAAAGACCCTGCGCAGCTGGCCTGCTCAGATGCTCACTCAGGTACATTTCTCATGGGAGATGAACGGAGTGAGTGCGTCGTAGCCCATGTCGACTCAGCCTCAGCCCTTCAGCACCTTGGGATGAATTTTTAAAGAATAGAGTTTCTTGGCCTGCAGATCTGAGATCCAGACCCTTAACCCAAAGGAGCTAAGGCCTGGTGTCCTCAAAAGTCTCTGCCTGAGAACCCAAGAGCCTCCCATGGCTGATACTTTTGCAACCAGCTAGCAAGTGCCCTGTATAACCAGAAATGCAACATTAAAAAAATGAGCTTGTTTTCCCCGTGTTCTTGAATGTCCCTGTTTTCCTAATTCATGGAAGTCAGATGAAGTGGGAAGAAGAAACTAGGACCCTTAAAGGACTGGACACCATCTCTTCCTGCTGCCAGGGACGCTCGCTGCGAAGGATCCCGGGCCTCTCGCTGAAGGGACCGACTGTCCCGAGGGCGGATGTTGGACGTCCACTGGGGAAACCCTTGACCTGACCAGTGTGTTCACATGGGGCATGGAGTCGCATCCCTATGCAATTGGAAGAGGATGGGAACAGTGGATCCCTCATTTCCAGATACACGGGGCATGTGTTTATGGAGAACAGGTGGAAATTATTTAAAATAGACACTTCCGACAATAACGTTACTGCGTCGAAAGGTTCACAGGGACATCTTACCTGTAACAACCTCAGTCGCTGCTCGTTGTTGAACCTTTCCACTGCAGCCCAGAACCACCGGATTACGATGTGATTGTCGTGGTACCCTGGCAGAGCAATGGGGAACCCTTGTTACACCGAGTCTACTCTCTCAACCCACAAAGATACGGAACAAAAGACACGCCCGACATAAGGCATCATCTCAGGTTCTTTAAAGATCATTTACAGTTTAAGACTCAGGAACAGCAGTGTAGATATGATCCTATGAACGGAAAAAGTTACATGAAAACAACACTAAGTGAAACCAAGAGGTCTCTGTTTTCGTTTAGTGATCACCGAAGGAGAGCCAGTAGCAAGACGACAACTGGCTTACTTTAGCGGTTTTGTTTCTGAAAAATGTAACTGCTGCTATGAGAAATGTGTGACTCTTCTGGTCATTTATGTAACAATTACTTTTTGCTACTAATGTGCAAGCATTGTGCTAAGCTTGGGGGAACCAAGGCAAAGAAACAGACCCCCACTGGGCTAGCGGTGAAGGAGAGACATTAATCAAGTAATTTACACAGAAATACAGAACTGAAAGATTTTTTAAAGGCTACATATAACATTCACATTTTAAAACCAAAGTACCTCCATACTGATTTACTCATAAAAAGAGAAAAGTGGTCTTTAAGTCCTTAACCCAATACATTCTAACGAATCATCACCCAAATTTTACTTTTATTCCATAATTCAGTTTAATAAAATGTCAGAAGTATCATCTTGCTGGTGAGTTAAGGCGGTCGTTGTGGATCCTAAGACCTTTCTGTGAAAATTCAGTTCAGAGAGAAGTCTAAGCAGGGTTAAAGCACCATCAGGGATGCAAACTAACAGCCTGTCATACGTTACATTCACAAAAGCTTCAATTCTGAGTCAGGAGTCAGAAATACAAGAGGCCGGGGAGAGACCACTGCACTCATAGTTGTAGGACTAAGCGCCTCTCACCTTATGCTTTGCCATTTCATCAAGGGCGTTTAGTGCCCTCGGAGAAGAAAGAAACCTGAGCCAGGTAACCGAGGTTGGACCAGGCACGGTGACACATGGACTCCGAGTCTAGGCTTTGGTCAAGACTAAACGATTCGGTACTGAGTGAGTAGCACCCTCGTCTAGCAAACAAGCGCACTGGTCGGCGTTTTGGAGTGCTCAAGTCCTCCGGCCTTCAGGATCCCCGTGCTGTCTGTGCTAACGCTTCCCGGGGAAGGACTGCACATGTGTTATCGAATTCTCTGCCTGTGGACTTGAGGCAAGAGGCAGCACAGCTGCTTGTCGTTCGGTGCCAGTGAGCTGGGTCAGCGGACCTGGCTGCCCCTTATCTGCTCCTCCCAGGGCTCTCACTTGATAAGATTTACAACTGCATCTGTGTCATCCCTGGTGAGTCACACAGGGTGACGCAGTTTTGAACCAAATAAATACTGAAGGGCTGACTGGGTGCGCTGCACTGCTATCGGAATTTCCAGGGGGGTGGAAGAAGGAGCAAATAATATTTATGGTAAGATGTGTGAGGGAGCATATTAAGAAATTACGTTCTAGTTAGTAAAATTAGTCTGGTTACCAACGTTATGAAAACCAAAGGTACAGGTGGATTATACATAGGGCCAACTGGAAAACTTCCTCCATCGAAAGAGCTTCAGAAATAGCAGCAATCACAACTGCAACTTAATTCATCTTCTCAGGGAAATCAGACAAGCGAGACCAGCCATGCCCCAGCGGAGGCTGCGAGAGCCAGGAGGGGCAAAAGCAAGAGCGATCTGGCAAGTGTGAAGCTATTTTTTTGATAGGAAATCAACAGTGGTTGTTACAATGCCTGTATCTGGTGGTCTGAAGAACTACCTTTAAGCTACTTTGTCAGCCCAGACTTGTAAAACTATTGTGGTGGTTGTCGTTGATCTGTTCCAACTTAGAGAGAATGGGAGACCCGTTCAGCTATCCATCTCTTCAGTTAAGTGATCACACTCCGCGCAGGGCAGTGTATTTCTCACTGTCCAAGGTCAGAACGAGTGCTAATCTCTCCTATTCTGAGTGAAAAAACAAAACCCAAACCAGAAAACAACTGTGATAAATTTCTGAAGGCTTTCTAATATGCAACAAATTCCCAGAAAGTATAGTCTTGCCTTGCTTAAAATTATTAGCCAAAACTAACCCTTGGGTACCATCAGGCCCCAGATGTAACAATTAAATTTCAACACCTTTGGTCCTAGTTACTAATCAAAAATTCGTCTTTATTCACAGAAATCCACTTCTATAGCTTCCCATCGAAACTAATCTCACCGCAGCTTCCTTTTCAGCTGAACGTAATACTTGCACTGAGTGGGCCTCGGCCCATGTACTTATTGAATTTCAAGGACTGCGTCTTTTCCAGTCAGGTGTCTCACTCTGAACCTCAAGTGGCGTGTGGTCCACGGGTCGGAGGAGGCTGTCTGTGTGGGAAGCTGTAAGCGCGATCTTTAGAATGAGGTGGAGTGAGAGCAGCTGGCTGTCAGCTCCTACGGCCGCAGCAACAGCACCATAAAATAACTCACGAGTGTTCCTATGGACACGCGACTCCCAAACAATGAGGCGTTATGACTCTTTTGGGTGGTGCACACACAGCCCTCCCCGCGCGAAGGTGGAGTGGCTGGGAGAGCAGGAGTCCTCCTTGCCCAGCGTCTCTGGAGAGACTGCATCAGACCTGGGACAAGCACGCAAGCGTGTCTGTCTGCCCTGCACCCACACCGTGTGCTGCGCTACGCCTCCCTTCCAGTGGAAGCGGAAGCCTGGCACGGCCAAGTCAGAGCTCACCTCCTCTGTACTCTGTGTTGCTTCGCCAGTCACTCAGGTCTATCTCGGCGGTGCCTGCGATGACCAGCTCCAGCTCGCGTGCATCAAACACAGAGACCAGCCTGGCGTCCACTACCTGTGGGGGGAGAGAGCACAGGGTGGGGTGTGCCTGGGGAAATGCAGGCAGTCATCAAGCTTCGGTGGGAAATGAGGGCACGGGGAACTTTGGGGTATGCAGTGCGCCCTGGGGAAGCATCTGGACTACAGCAAGTTTCTCTGTAAACACGGGGTGTTGCGAAAGTGCGAAGTGGGTGAGACGGTCCCAGGGAAATCTGTTCAGCACATGGCTGCACCCCCTGGAACACGCCTGATCTCATCTACCTCCGAAGCTAAGCAGCTTAGTCCCTGGCTGGGCGAAGTCCTGTTGTATAATTGACCACTGATGAAACTATGTGCTTTTCTCTTCTGAAGAAGCTCTAATGCTGCTGCTGAAAAAGTCACATGGAAGACATGTAACAACTCATTCTCCCCTCGAATCTTTCACAGATCGAGCATGAGATCTGAGGACTGCATCTCAGCACGAGTCCGAGTCACGACTTCAATGTTATCAGAGATCACGAAAGCATCCACTGCTCCGCGCCACTGTGCCCTAACAATCATTTCAGTGCTCTCTTGCAACAGGGGGATTACACTTTCATGTGTGTGCTTTTGAAACATGCAGGGACAGCTGGACTTTTGAAATGAAAAGAGCAACCACAGTAACTAGAGCACAGAGAGGATGGGGATGCTCACACAGGGAAGTGCCGCAGGCCCCCAGCCCAGGCCGCAGGCCCGCACGCGGCCACCCAAGTCCCTACCTCGTAGAAGCCTCGCACCAGGCTCTCCGTCTGCTGCACCACGCCCCGCTCGATGCGCCACTTCACCATCCTCTCGATGTACTCCTTCTTGTTCTTCTCCGTCACCGGGATGTTGGCACCCCCTGGCTTTAATTCCCGTTCAGTAATCTGACCAGAAAGCAACACACTGGGTGTCACAACACTGCTGCCCAGCCCCGCCCAGCCCCTGGGGAGCCCGCAGCAGGGACAGGTCCCACACCCAGGCTCAGGAACAGAGGCACTCAGGAAACACCAGGGATGGAGCTGAAGTCTGCAGCCTGGATGGCTCAACAAGGACTAGTGTGGTCAAGAGCTTCTGGCTCCAGATACCCACTGGTATCTGAATGTTTGACAAAACCCTTTCCACAAATTCCTCTAAGACTTAGAATCAACTGCATCTGGAGCACCAACACTGGAGATTTACTTCAGCAAACCCAGCTCCACTCAAGAGCGTGTTAAATTGAGGACTTAGTTTTCAAAACACATGAAGTTCAGAAAACAAGCCAAATGTTAGTGCCTTGTGAGAACTAAGCTATAATTGCTGAAAGAAATCTTTTAATCTACACTTCTACCAACTTTGAAATAAACCAATTTAAGTTTTATTTTTAAGCCTTCTCCAAAATACTGTTTATATTCCCTCAGCTTCAAAACAATCAATTTCAGTTCTGAAATCTGAATGAGAGCTAAATACATACAGCAATTCAGCAACTTCCTATCCAACTCCAGGACAGCAGGGACTGTTAAAAACCATGTTCTCTATAAGCATACAGTTATTATAAAGAAGGCATGTGTTGTCATATCTTTTGTGGATACCTTGTTTGGAAATTAAAGGAAGCTTGTTTACAATATACAAAGGCTTATTATAATCCATAAATGAGAACATCTTAATCTGCAGTTGGCATCAGAATAATCCTTGTAACCAAACATATTATAATTGAGTGCCATCCTGGGTTTAAATCGCCCAATAAGCTACAGGTAGGTAAGCATCTGATCTGAGCCATGGGATTCACTTTTCACCAACTTCACTACAGCGACCACAGCTGGGGTGCGCTGGTATACCCCACACAGACCTGCCCGAACACTTCTTCATTCACGGTGAACGTGAGGTCCAGGATGTCGTGGATGTCGTTGTCTTTCATCCACTGCAGGCTCTGGTGGAACTCTTCATCCAGGTACTCAAGATCGCTCAGATCACACAGGCTAGGGTGACAAACAGAGGCAAACACAGGGATTGAACATTTGAGAAGCAAAGTACACACTGAGAACCTGTCAAACAGAGGCAAACACAGGGATTGAACATTTGAGAAGCAAAGTACACACTGAGAACCTGTCAAACAGAGGCAAACACAGGCACTCGGCTATTTGCAAAAACCCAGAGTCATGAGGAAAGAAACCAAAAATCAAGAAGAATGCGATCAACTTTTTAATAGGCAGTGACAGTTGAAATGTTCTCAGTCAAGTTCAGTAACCAAACCAGTGACGTCATTCGCAAGTTTGGTGTTGATTTGAACATCCTGGATATACAAAATGTTATAGGAGACGCTCGGCGTTCCCTTCCCTACATTCCAAGTGGTGAGTGGCTGCTACGGACACAACCAGGCACAGTGGGTCCAGGTCTCCAAATGGAGCTTGGGTGGACAACTTGGATTCAATATTCTTTTTTGGCTATGTTATGCCACCTTAAAATATTGTTCTCCTAATCTGAAATTCTTTACATATTTCTGTACTGTGCTTTAACTTTGTTTTTCCTTTTTTTAAATACTAGGTTCTGTGACTCCTGTTCACATACACGTTCTCCTCACGGTTCTTATTCTGCAGTTCTGAAGACAGTAAGCCAAAGAGTCTCTCCATAATTATACTGACTTTCTGTGTTTCTTCCCCTCCCTTTTTTTTCTTCATTGCAGAGACAGAATCTGCATGAGGTGGAGCTACAATTATCTGTCCTTTGCAAGGTGGTAGTAATTGATTTGCTACAGCTGTTTTGAAATTTCCCTCCTGTCAGCTCAATCGCAAGGGTCACTTTGTTCAGTTCGTTCTAAACATTTATCGGGCACGAAGTGTGTGCCAGACATCTTCGAGGCAACGTGACGAACGCGATGTCACTGCTCCCGGAAACACAGGAATACGGTAGAGAAGTGAGTATAAGGTGGTAAATGAGGACACAGGGTAGAAGTGCTTACATCCACATACTTTCTAAATGGAGCTTTAATTTATAATGAAGGAAAGGTAGGTACAGAGAGCTCTAAGTGCAAACACAGGGGCTTTGCCTTGACTTGGGGACTCAGGGGAAGTTTTGCAGAGCCGATGATGCTCACATTAAATCTTGCAGAATATTTAACAGGGAGAGATATTTTAAAAAGAAAGGAACGGAAAGGAAGGAAAGGGGAAGCGAAAGGGGGGGAAATAGCCTGGACAAAATGCAAGGGCCGAGTGCAGAATTCCCCAAGTGGAGGCAGCATTAATGCAACGGACACAGGACCATCTCCAGAGGCCAGGGCTGCAGGGAGCCTGGGGGTGGGCTCGGAGTGCCCTCTGCAGGGGCGTGGTGACTCAGATCTTCGGAAGGAGCTCATGTCAGGGAACGACACGAGCAGATGTGAGAGGTGCTATCTCACAAACAGGTCCTCACAAGTCCCATGCAGAGGGTGACTTAAAATGGGACAGAGACTCACTGAGAAACTACTGCAGCAACCCCGGGAAAGCACACCAGGGTTCTAATGAAGCGTGGAGCGGAGATAAATCTGAGGATTACTTAGAAAGCAAGTGTAGAAATTTACAAATGCTTTTCCTGGGAAGGGCTATAACGAAGGGCATCTAAATCGCGGTAGCGAGTGAACTCACGTCACAGCCAACTTGCACAGACGGATAGCCGAGTGCCCTGCGCTGAGCAGACCGAGAGGGCACAGGAGTTCAACGGGAAAACACCATAAGCCATGTGTGAGCCATTCCCGGGGACAGGGCCAGAAGCGGGAAGGAGAAAGACATGTCCCTCAAACTTGCTGGCCTTGTGTAAGGGTCACTTCCAGCTTCTGAGCAGAGTGACTGAGAATACAAGCACATTCAAGGGTGCTGGACACCAGGGAAGGCCTGATTTTAGATCCAGGAAAACGAGGAGCTCTGCCTTCGCCGTGCTGGAGTGGAGGTCCCTGTGAGGTCTCCAAGTGGAGAAACTGTGGGGTGACACTCCGAGGCACGAAGATACACGTGGCCCGAGAGAACGGGACCCAGCAAGAACTGTAGCTGGGAAACCCCAACAGGCAGGCAGGCAGAAGCAGGCAGACGCCTCCCCGACCCCAGGACATGAGAGACAGCCTGCTTGCTTCAGGTGAGGTGGCCACTTCCGTTTTGCAGAAAGCAGGTCAGGAATGTGCGGGACACAAGCAAGCCAGGACCCAGCGCTCTCTCCCACTCCCACGGCCGCCTGCTCCTGCTCTGCCTGGTGAGCGACTGCGGGACAGGAGCAGTTTGCTCCACGCGCTACAACAACCAATCGCAGCCCCTTATGGTCCTAACAATAAAGAAAAATGCCACATTTTCACCTGCCGTGATACATTACTGTGTCGCACATGGGGAGAGCTCAAGAACAGTACGGCACTGCCTACCCCTAACGAACAAACCAAACATAAAACAAGAACAGAGCAAAGGAGAAGGAAACTTTGACCAGCGGCACGCAGCTGAGGGTTGGGAAGAAGCGAAATAAAAAATGCATCTCATAAAGAATTCAGGGCTGTGAGTCACAGGCTAACCCACAGCTATTCTATTAATAATTGGCATTAATACCGCAGGAATTCCAGGGCAGTGTTTGAAGTACAATTGTTTTGAGGAAACTTGTGTTACAACAAACGAGAATAGACATTCAGAGCAAAGCACTTTGGTGGGTGGACAGGACTAAAGGGTCAGAAGCAGGGAAGGAACCAGGAACCATATTTGAAACTGCTACTTTCCAAAATCAAACCCACTACTTAGTTTAATAGCAATACATCCCCAACAATGATCAGTGGGAAACTCTGACAGAAGAGTAAAGACTCTTCTTAATAAACATTTTTGTTTTGTGGTCCTGGAGACTGAACCCAGTCCTTCATGGCAAGCTATATCCTCAGCTCATTTATTTATTTATTAAATTTTGAGACATGGTCTCGCTACATTGCTAAATTGTCCAGGCTGGGCTTGAACTTGCAATCCTCCTGCCTCAGCGTTCCATAGTGCTGGGACTACAGGTGTCACATGCACAGTTTAAACACTGCATTTTCACATGTTAATTACAGGAGTCATAAAAAATATTCTTACATTCTGAGAAGAGCCTTATAAAAGGGCCGTGTAAAGAAGGCATCCAACAAATACTGGTGTATTAGTGCAAGACCAAGGATCCGACCACTGAACCGGAACCTACAAAAGAAAACACAAGACAGTGTACATGTCAGAGCAGTTTCTAAACGGATCTGTTTGCTCTCTAGAATGGCCCCAGCTCTAACCATCTGTTTGTCCAAGATGAACTGCCGATTAGGTCCTGGGCATGTGTGTGCACTGTAGGTTGTGTCTTCATTAGCCCATAATTTACATTTGCCTGCTGAAGAAATGTCTCCCGGATGAGACACAGCTCCACCTTGACCTGTGTCCCCATCACCATGTGGCACCCGCATCTGATGACATGAGTCCCCCATGAGCATTTGGATGACATTTCCCCAAGCTCCCTTCACAAGACACTGACAGGAAGAGACTGGAGTGGCAGGGAGGGTGCTGTCCCCTTCAAATCAGCATGTGTGAGCACTGGCTGGGCTTTTCTAGGACACACTTGTCATTCCCTTTTGAGAAAAGCCCCACTGCAGAGAAGGTTTCCGACCCAACTTCTGATGGTAAGCATCACTATGCAAGAATCATGCGGTGGGCATTTGGGGGAGTTTCCTCGTGGGACATTCTGTTCTGCAAAATGTCAACGTTCAATTCCATTCTGAATCAACTCAGAAACTTCATTCCGCGTCTCTGTGCTGTCTCAGATGTATGCGCACTTGCTTTCTCTCTGTGAAAACCATGCAAGCTTCCAGCTCTCTCAAGGTGGGATCCTTCCAAAAGTTTAAACACACCCTGGGACTCACTCTGTCGGTTTATAATTTTAGTCAGGCTGCTGTTTTGAAGTTAACGCCCGGCAGCTTTGATCCTCTCTGTGTCACTTCTGTTAGCACAACTGTCAGAGCCGGAGCAAGGTGGACTCGGAACGGCAGGAACTGGAAGCAGGCATGCAGGGTGCACTCCAGAGCTAAGGCCTTCCGCCCAGCCATGTGGCCCTCCTGACTCAGGAAGCTTCCCAGAGGAGCCCCGGCACGTCCTTTCTTGGTTACTATCAGCCACAATGAACGGGAACCCCTTGATAGGGGCTGTGCAAACATTTACAGTCTACACATTCAAGGATTTAAAAAAGATGCACAGAGCACAACTGCGGATTCCCAGAATAAACACTCCGGACGGGACTCCTCAGTCAGTTCTCCTTGATGGCTTTGTGTGATGGTTTGGGAACAGGCAAGCCCTGGTCATGCACTTGGAGAGGCTCCTCTGCAGAGTGGGCATTTCAGGCGACACTAAGCTCCTGTGCTGACCACCAGCCCCGATGGGTCACTGACCCTGCCCACCCATCCCTGGCCACCCCTTGCCAGTGCTCCAGCTGCCGGCTCCCTCGAACCCCAGGGCCAAGCACCTCCCCAAGGACCACTGCTGGAACTGCCGGGTGGTGGGGTCAGGCTCGTTTCCTCCCATCAGCTCAGTGCTCAGACACCCAGGGTGCACAGAGGCTTTTAGGGCTCTGGCCAGGAACCTGAAATCATCTATAGCTTGGGAAAAAGCTTTTGACTTCTACCCAGCTCAGTCAAAACTGATCTCCTGTAACACTATCCGTTCCCAGCCTGGAGACTGCCCATCTATTTCAGCTTGACAACAAAAATTACAGTCAAATGCGGTATTTAACTAATAATCATCTTCTCCAGGCAAAACGATGCTAAATGTGCACTTCTATTAAAAGCAAACAAATGTCACAGAGATCCAACGAAGACCAGCAGTTGGGGGAACTCTTACCATTCATGGTGATTGTCCACAAAGGCAGACATGGGGCTAATCTGTACTGTGTATGTGTCGTTGGCTGAGTACTCAAATAAGCCATAGTAGGGGTTAAAGAGCTCTCTGGACACCAGGAAGAAAAACTCTCTGGAAGGCCCACTGTAATCTAGCCTGTTAAAAACAAAAACATGAAGTAATAGTCAGCTTTTGTTTCTTTCCTCAATATTAGGAATATTTTCTCCTGAGTCCATCTTTCTCTAGCATACTGATTACGAGAGAATTGTTTATATATTAGGGCTACACAAAATAAACTGAGCAAATTCCTGAGTTCACTGTGTCTTAAGCCAGCACAGTGAACTGCACTTATATCCAGTGCATCCAAAAATAAGCTACACATCATATAATGCCCAAGACTGGCAAAGGGCACTCTGAATGAATACACACAAGAGATAAAGCTTTTAAATATCGGAGGTGAGGGTACGGGGAAAGAGCGTTCCCAGAGGAAGCGGCGGGAACCAGCCACATACAGATCGAGGACGTGCTGTCTTCCTCGGGTTTCTGGAGACTTTCTCAGTGAGGGAAGAAAGAAACTTCCAGGAACGGGAGAGAGGAGACTGTGGATCCCAGGGTCCCTCCGGAGATCAGAGGCAGAAGAGAGGAGGGCAGGAGATGAGTGAACGTTTCACACCACGAAACATCACAGAAGGTTGCAGACAATGAGCACGGGCATCGGAAAGTTTTCTACAGAACGTACTTGGGGAAGAGGCCGGAAGCCTAGCGCCTGAACTATGCTGTGAATTCCACTTTCCTCACGAGGGCTTCAGGGTCAAGGTGAAGCCGAAGGGAAGAGCATGTCAGGTATGAGGAATGACAAGTGCCAGCAAGGCCGAGAGCGAGAACGGCAGCGAAGAGGAGTCTGCGACCAAGCAGTTTGATGTGTTGAATGTAAGATGGAAACTATGAAAGACACCTACCCCATGCTAAAGAGCGCGCAGAGATTCAAAGGCAGCGGGGAAGGCCACGGCAGGGTGAAGCCAACTGTAAGTTGGGATAAGGATGGTGGAAGCCTCTCCTCCTCCCCTCCCCTCCCTCCGTCTTTCCCCTCCCTCCTCTCTCCTCCCCGTTATTCAGTGGGTATCAGTGCATTTCTAAATGAAAAGGAAATCACCTGATCTTTCCCAGTGATGATGTGAGTTGAAAGGATCCTATTCTAGGCGGACGCGAGCTGGGACACCAGCAAGCAAAACCCAAGTGGCCTTTATCTGCTTCCTTGAGAACAGAATTGGACTCACACAGTCCAGGCGCCCATTACGCACACAGCCACGTCTCCGTGTTTGCCCTATCTGAATACACACATTCTGTTATTTACTTAGTATCTTCCATCAAATCACCTCCAGATTTGTTTTTTCAACATAACCTTGTCTTGCACAATATTTATGCAGTTTTAATGCGCTAACACTATTTTTTTTAGTACACAGGAAGAGAAATGCGGGCGCGGTAAAGCCAAGCCATCGGGCTTCGTGGCGGCTTGCGCCGCTCTGCACATCACCGTGGCATCAGGGCTCACATCCACACCCACAGCGCACTGCAGGAAACCTACGTGTCAGGAAGCATTCGTACAGCAAACTCTGGACCACAGGGCCTGCAGTGACGCGGTGGGCCCAGCCCAGACCACCAAACAGAGCATAGCTAACAGGCAGACCAGGAGGGACACTGTCCTGAGGCTGGCGAATGCTCCCTCTGGCTTCCCCACTGGCCCTGGTCTGGAGCCACAGCTACCAAGGGCAAGCAGAGCAGTTCTCCCACTGGAGCGTTCCTCACATACTCAGAATCTTTCTTCCAACAAACATCTGAGCGCAGACTCTGCATCGGGCACAACGCTAACTAGATCTTCAAGACAGGACAGTTTGCAAACAGCCACTTCCTAGAGGAACTCTAAGTCTAGCTGTATGCGTGACCCCACTCCTGGTCTTTTCTGCTCCCGTCCAGCTTCTCTCAGGCAGGGGTGGGAACCCCCGGGCCACCCTGGGAGATCTAAGGCTGACCCAGCCCTGGGCCTGTGGCCTCAGCACAGAGCTGAGAGCGGCTGTCTGCTCCAGACTCCTGCCTGCTTTCCCCTGCCCACACGGGTTAAATTCCCCACGTGTGGGGAAGCCACCTTACTCCAGTGACTCACCGTGAGCCTGTCTCGAACTAAAGCCTCAGACCTTTGATTTATGGGGCTTTCATCTTGGACTCCTCATCCCGTCTGCAGTAGCTTTACTAGAGACAGACGGGCAAAGGCTAGCGCCGGCTGCATACCGCTCCTCGCTACGTGTCACTGAGTCTTGCTGTAGAGCAAGAATGGCAACGGCCAAAGGCTTCTCCAACCCAGCGCGGCCCCTTTGCTTCACACAGGACACTGAGGCCGGAGGACGTCACTCAGCGAGTCGACTGAGACGCCTGACCCAGAGCTTGCCATCCGTTGCTCCTTCCTGCCGGTCCCTCACTAAATCTTAAATGTTTGTCGAGACTGAAGCCATACTGCTCACACAGCACAGCTGGCAAATTCTGGCCTGCGGGCCAATGTGCCCCACCCCCTCGGTTGGTAAATAGGGTTTTACTGGGTGCAGCTGTCCCCTGCCATGTGCTGTCGCTGCCTGTTTTCCTGCCAGGGTGGCAGAGGCGGAAGGGAACCTCAGACGAGGCGGGCAGAGCCTGAAACGTTCACAGAAAGACGCTGCCAAGGGCTGGGTGCGGGCAACGGGAGGCGGAGGGAGAGGAGGAGGATCAGGAAAGGACACATGTACCCACACCCCAGGACAGACACATTCAGGGTGGACTGCGAACACACTAATAGAAAGATTGAAAGAAAGTAGGGGCAATGCTACTTTACTGAACAGTCCAGCTCTCTGCAAATCCTCTTCCTGAGTGCAGAGCCTTCCAGGAAACACGCAGTGGCCACAGTGTCCTAGGGGGCAGCAACCTCACGGACTGGCCAAAGCCCCCAGGCCTAGGACGCCCACGGTGCATCTGTTTGCTGCCAGGCTGGGGCTTTGCAGAGATGCCCAAGGCCGCCATACTTCACCAAAAGACGCAGAGGTTTTCTTACAGACAACTAGTATAAGTCAAATAGGCTTGACTGTGGCTCTGGGTTTACCTCTGAGGGTTCGTATCCCCCCGTGTAGAGCACAGTGCACCGCCATGATCCTCGTGTGCCTGCCCCGGTGCCCAGGTTGCGACCGCAGGCAGAACAGCACCAGGCCTTGCTCACCTTCCCAGCCCAGGCCCCCGGCCTGATTCATGCAGGCGCTCAATGCCGAGCTGAGGTATCGAGGGCAAGGGCTCTCCAGTGCTCCCCAGAGGAGACCAGCCTTGTTATGGGGCTCCTTGGCATCCAGCAGAGTGAATACACTGTATGAAGTTTGCTGTGAGACTGTACGCTGGCCAAGCGACATAAACAGGCCGTGTCCATCCCTAAGAGACAACTCAAGTTGAAAACAGAAATCACACAGGAGAATCATGTTTAGGAAGTTCACTGTGTAACATCTTCTGACACGGTCCACTTTGTTAGAACAACGAAGACCTCACGAACTGGTTCTTTCTCTGTGATAACAGAAGAATATGATGGATGATAAGGCAAATTTTCCCCGAGGAGTTAAACTGAATAGTGACTTCCCTGGCAAGAGAGAACAAAGTGATAGCTCCTCCAGGAGGAAATGGATCTTAACCCGGTCAGGTTTGTGTGGGCTGTTGTTAACTCTACATGCGTGGAAGGAGTTTCTCTAAAGCCAAGGCAGACTTTAGACTGCTTTGATTATGATCTGAAATTCAAGACCACCTACGGGAGAGCATGTATCTATCATAGTTACAATTCCAACGTCTCTATCACAAGTCTAGCAAATTTAATAAAACATGTTGCAGCAGGGCGCTCTGTGCACGCGGTTCCTGTAATGCCTTAGCAACCTCTTCCATATAAATAGTTAATATGACTCATATCACAGGGATCGTTGATTCCATTCCTGTTCTGCCAGTTCGGTTGGTTCCCCAGCTAAAGGCTTAGGGCGGAAATGCAGAAACTCTGGACAGCGGGTGTAGCCACAGGACAGCTGCGTGGGGGGCGGGCCGCTCTGAGGACCGGCAGACCTCGGGGCGCCAGCTGTTCTGAGCCCCAAGTGCAGACCAAGCCTCGCAAACACTGCACAGTCACTAGGCTGGCAGCCCGCTGGCCCAGTGTTGTCAGCGGCAACGGATATCTGTTAAGACAGTGAATTTTTACTGTCCCATTCCTTATTTTCAACTAAGAATGGCTGCAAACAAAGGGCCTGCAGGAAGGACACACACAGGGAGGGAGACAGTCACAGGAAGACACACCGTCATTTCCTGCGGGCTGGCCCTGGCCCACGCGGCCTCTAGGCCTTTGGATTCACCTGCGAGCGTCTGTAGCAGCAGGTATCTCACCAAGCCACTCAGGCAGGCCCAGGAGGGAGTACGGGATTCCGATATGACAGGCAGAGCGGCACTTGGCGCTTCCAGTCCACAGCCAGAACCAGAAGCACCTTCTTTTGCAAAGTGTGGGTTATTCGGTTAGCCTCCGTATGTCTCTTTTTGCTAGAAAACAAGCAGCATCGTAAGTTCAACTTGAAGCTTTGTGGGTTTCTGAGAAATCAGTGGTCAAGCTCGGGACCCTACAGCTTCTAGAGAAGCCATGTGCAGTCACGTGAGGACCACTGGTTGTGCTAGCAGCAGAGAAGAGGCAGACTGTTTCAAGCCGGCCCTGGTTGCTTCCATTTGCCTGGCTCAGGAAAGAACTGCAGAAAGCAGGGACAGGAAGATGTTAAAGAGGCTTCACATCCCCACCCAAAACTGTCTGCGCACCTCTCCCCCTCTTCTCACTGCTGCTTTGAAAGGCAGGTGACTGGTGTCATGCTGATGAACCTCTTGCACACTGAGCTCATTCTCCCTTAAACAAAGGTACCTTTTACAGGCCAGGCCATGGAGAAAAGAGAGGCAGAGTGAGTATAACATCCTCCCTTGAGCCAGGCTATTACTTCCTTACTGTTTGGAGTCTAAGAAGTTAATGGTCCTGGATGCCTTACCGGAGCACCAAACTCTACCTGGCTAACTTGACATCAATCAAACTTTCATTGCTAGGACTTTTAATTCACCAAAACAATAACACAGGAAAATACCTAGTATTTTATCTCTCCCTTCCCTAGAGAAACAACCTCCAGGCAGACTGAAGCCTGATAGGACTAGGCCAGCATTTTGTGCAGTTTCTCAAAACCTTCAACCTCAGTGACTCTGTTCTCAGCCGAGCCACTGACTGCCCCCCACACCACTTGTATAAGGTCAGATAACCAAATTCACCGGGGTGGAAATTTTAATGACTTCACGACTAGGGCAAAACTCCCAGCTCTCACCAAATTAAACCACTGATCACAAGACAGTGGGTGAAAACCATCTTTGTACAAGGCCAAGCGTAACACAAAATATGATTTCAGTGAGAAATAACAGCTGTCAACTAAGACTACACATTTGCCTCCATAGACTTCCAGATGAGCTTTATATTTTTGTGATTGAAGAGAGGTGTCTCCAATATTAATCTGTAGCCACCCTGTAAATTTCTGACTAAAATTTCCCAACAGGTCTCTCTTTTTATTTTAGGAACCGCCTATGCCTCATGGTTCAGATCTAGGCAAAGAAATAGCTTAAGCAGAGCTGACGTCTTTCTGAATCTGCAAACTCACACTGCTTTGGAATGCAAATAAATGTATCATTCATCAGAGTAAATCCCCTTTTCCTTATGCTTCAGCTAGTTTATTGTAAAGAAATACCTACGGTGTGATGATAGAAAATCTGTCATTGAGATGGTATCAATAAAAATTACAATATTAATCCCTTGTCGATAGTAGAGTTGACACAGACAATATTCTCTACATCAATATCCCCGCTGGTTTGGACTCTGCACAGAATTAACTCTATGGGCTTCTTACTGTCCTCACCTCATGTAATGACAGAGGTTTCTACACAACCAAAAGTTCAGGGGCAGCCCCCGGGGCAATAAGAAACATCCCTCAGGGAAGCAGTCCTTAAGTCTCCCTATTTGATATATTTTTCTCTTAATAAACCATTTTAGGATAGTTTAAATTTACAGAAAAGGTGCAAAGATAGTATACAGAGTTCTGGTACACCCTACGTTCAATTTCCCTTTTATTAATATCTCACATTAGAACTTTTGTTATAATTGAAAGCCTGGGATAAACCCCCTAGCTTCACTTTTAAAGATTTGCTTTTGTCACCATTTTCAGAAGTCAGGTAGCTGCGGGGTACACTCGCATTATCTTTGCTACAGGTAATACCTCTGAGGTAGGTAGGTATAGTCGCCCAAGTTGTTGTCAGGAATCCGGAGGCCACTATTGTCCATCTCAAACTGGCCCTTCACTGGGCCCTGTGTGAGTGCCCCATGGGCAACCTGGTGACCTCAGAAGGCCAAAACTCTACCTTCACACGGTGCTAATGCCGCCATTTTCTGACCACAGCTTCTAACCAGCCATGGAACTGGGCCACACCCCTACAGACACACCAATAACCTGACCTCTCCCGGCCTGCAGTGACCTCTCCCCTCGCTTCAGACGGCCTGTTTCTTGATCCCACAAACACCCCTAAACCCTGTTCTCATGAAGTGGATTTCAGACCTTGGGCTCCAACTTCCTCATGTTCGGTCCTCTGGTGACTAAGCTTTTATAAAACTTGTCCCGTTGGTTCTTGGGACAATTCACATATGGCACAGTGGGAAAAGGTGGTAGCAAAATTAATGAACTCATATTAATCCATTATTACTACTGAAAATGCACACTTTACCCAGATTTCCTTAGCTTTCAGCTAACACCCCTTTTCTGTTCCAGGGTCCCAAGCAGTGCATTACATTTAATTATCATGTCTCTTCCTGACTGTCCAATTCCCAGATTCCCCTGGTGTGGATGACCCGGACAGTTTTACGAGTAAGGTGCTTCCCACCATGCCCAGATGGGACTCCCTGATGCTTTCCCTGCGGCTGGACTGAGGTGAGGGGTGTGGGGAGGAGACACGGGGGCTCCCGGTGTTTTCATCCGGGAGCTGAAGGGTATAGTCTACCAACACGGCTTGGGACTGTTGACGCTAACCTTGACTGCCTGACGGAGACGGCGTCTGCCAGTTTTCTCTACTGCAAGCTTCCTTCCTCCCGCTTTTCCACACGGCACCACTTGGAAGAAAATCACTGTGTGCAGCCCACACCTAAGATGCAGGGGTCAGACTGAGCTTGAACTGTGTTCATTCATGTGCTTAATCAGCATGGATACGTACTTCACACTGGGGGTTAAAACCCAATACTACTTTATGTGTTTCGCTGCTCAGCTGAGCCTGGCTCCGGCAATCGGGAGCTCCTTCGGGTGGCTCCTGTGACCTTACGGCAGCCTCCATCGCGCCACGTTTTCGGAGAGCCTCTGTACTTTCCGGCAGATGCTGCGAGGAGTTTCAGGCTCTGTCTTGCTTGGCCCCACCACAGTCCTAGAATCAGCCATCTCTCCACCCCTGGGCTTCTCATTCGTTAGAAACCAAGCCTTGAACAGCAGATACCTATGTTTTTAAATACCCACTGCTAGACCTAGACATGAAAAACTTACAAAATGATACCTTTGGTGGGCGTTAAAGTTGGGGAAAGCAAAGTAACATAACTCTTCTATTTCTGTAGCTCAGTGAAAAGATCTGGGTAGCTTTTTACTTTGGTTAGTTATTACAGTCCAGATAGAGATGTTCTGACCGTTTCACGTGATACAGTCAATGTGTTTGAAAAGCTGGAAAGGCTTCGAAAGCCCCTTCATTTTACGCAGTTCTAAGGTCCAGCAGGAGTACAGTTGTGATCTTTCTAAGCAGTAAATGTATTCTCAATACCTCAACAGCAAGATAATGTCAACATCTAATTATCTGTATATATCATGATGGAATGATTAAGCCAAGAGCCCAGAAATCCAGCCTCAATAAGCCATCCAGAGGAGAGAGAGTAAGAGATGACTCCTGATAACCGAGGTCGCACCTGGGGCCACAGCAAGTACAGGTGATGGTGGCCAGGAGTTCCGGATATCAGAAGGAATCGAACACAGAGGAACCAGCTCCACTCAGTCTGGCCCCTTCCTGGGAACTGATCGCCTCAGTCCATAACAGAGGAAATGGCATGAGGAAGGCCACACCTACGAACCATCTGCTCTACTCAGAACACTTCCCTCTGCCTCTGAGATCTCAACAAACTGGGCTGGGCACAATCATGCGTGCCTGTGGTTCCAGTTCCTGAGGAGGCTGAGGCAGGAGGATCACTTGAGCCCAGAAGTTCAAAGACATCCAGGGCAACATAATGAGATCTTGTTTCAAAAAAAGACAGTACAAGAAAACAAAACCCCCCCGAACAGTCCAAGGTCTAACAGTGAAGGAAGCAACTGGAGTCCTGGGGGAGGGAAGGATCCTCAGCCACACCAGACTGGTTCTGTAAGGAAATGCCTGGAGTCCCAGGTACACCTGGGCAAGACTAGCAACATCTGTCTTGCTTCCCTAATGGTGCACCTGCATCATTAGGTTAACACCAGCCGGAAGTCCATTTGTGCATATCGGAATGAAAGGCTCAGGCACCAGGCAGGCCTCTGCCCAAACCCTGTTACTTCATGAGCATTTTCCTTTATTCATGGCTGGCAGACAGTTACCAGTCATTTGCTTGGATGGCAAAATGGTCCAGTGGGACAAGAAAAACTCCATAAAGGCCACCGCTCAGGACTTCAGCCTTCTTCTTGGTCCTGGCCCAAGAGCACTGGATGCAGAGACAAAGGGCCTGGGGTTGAGTCCTGATTTTGCTCTTCCCTAGCTCCTTAAACAGGAAGTCACTTCATACCTCAGTGTCTCCATGTCATCCACCATACGCTGAGGGGGTCTGTGGGTTGGATGTTATGACTACGATTCAACAATCTTCTTTATTCCCGGATACGAACGGGGTGGCCCTCAAACGATGCTAACCAACAAAATCAGAGAGAACACTGCCAGCATTCAGACAGCTCAGAGGGTACTTTTTAACTTCTACGTCATAGCTGCAGGTGACAAGGAAGGCAGTGAGACAGCCCCAGGGGAGGAGGGAGGCCCCCGGAGGGACAGGAGCGATCCGTGTGAGGTGATCTGCACCAGCCTTGCTGTCTACCAGGCACAGGTAGAGCAGACACTGAGTGGGAGTCTTGGCCCCTTCTTTTCTTAACCCTTCCAGATGTGCGCGCAGGGGAGAGTCGCGAAGGGCGGCCTGGTCGGAAGCCGTCACCTGGTAGGAAGCTATGTTGGTTGTTGTTCCCTTGGCACCTGCACACCTCCCAAGGCAAGAGAAACACTTGGCGTAGAGGAATAAGGGCCACCACCCAGGGCCACTGCTGCAGAAGCCTCCTGGGGGAACAGCAGCAGGGCTCTAAGCCTTTCCTGAAGCGGAACTTCTCTAACAGGGGACCCAGGGCAGCAAAGGAGACCCCAGATGTTCAGATGCAATCCCTCGGTTTTTGTCCCTTGAAGCCCCATTTTTTTCCTTGAAGAGAAATGCAGAGAGAAGAAACCAAACAAGACTTCTGCCCTCCAAAAATGATTTCTGTTACAAGTTTAACCCCAGAATCTCTAGGTCAGATGATCTAAAAACCAGCGGAAGCATTACGGAGAAGAAACAAAAGCCAACATGTTCAAGCTTATGAGAACAGCACTTCCTGCCAGAAGGATTTCCTGTTTCAGGCAACCGCAGCGACGTGGAGAAACATCCGCCCAAGGCCGCAGCCTGCGTCCCGGCCTCTTCTCTGTTCTACTCACCCTTCCTCCCCGACGAAAGTGACATACAGCTTATTCCTCTGCAGGTCTTTTCTGGAGTAGCCCATGATCTGATTAAAAGCATCTTCCAGCAAGTGATCTCTTCGGATAATTAATCTGGCCATAAAAAGACAATTTGAAAAAATGCAGATTATTTTCTGATCCTTATCTCTCCAGAACTCGGGGCACCTGCCATTTAATTTCTGTTTACAACAATTAACTAGGTGAGAAGTGAGTTACTTCACATCCACGCTGTCTGCAGTACACATTGTCTTCAACTCTCAACAGCATTAGCAAGAGTTACGTAACAGAGTCACAGGTAAACAGAGCACCCACCCCACCCTGGACACACCCGAGTCCTTTCCAAGTGGCCAAATCAATTCTCCCAGAAGGCAATATCATAAAACCACACACACACACATGCACACACACACACACACACACCCCACACAACTTCTGTTTACTGAGGGGATAACAGCCTGATGACATAATGCTTTCATCCTGAGTGCACCTAGGCAAGGATTTCAGTTACTAAGTACCTAGGAAGAGACTGAGAACCAGGAAACAGGGAGAGAAGAAAAGCCTGCGTTCTCCGAAGCAAAAACCAAACCAGAACAACAATAACAAAAGCCTGTCCGATGGTGCTTAACTTAATTTTAAATGAAGAGCATCTTGAGATTCTGTAAAGGACAGATAGAAATGAAGGGTGCCTCTGGCCGAATAATCGACTAGTGACAAGGACAAAGCCACCCTTCCACGGACACCAGCGTGCCCTCGGCTGGCAGTGGACAGGAGAGGAGGGGCTGGGCCAGGGGCACGGTGGCTTTCTGGTGCGGACTCTCCCTCCTCCGCAGGTGGCAGAATGAGCTCCGGGGAGGACACAGGATGGGACGAAGCAGGGGGAGGGGGAGGGGAAGTAGTGTGAACCCCTCTGAAAGAGAGGTGGGTGAAGGGCAGAAACAATATTCATGACTCGTTCTGTTGACAAGTGAAGTTGCCTTCACAGAAAAAAAAGAGCCGATCGCTACGCCTTTCTATCTGAGCAATGTCTCACAAGCCCGGAGAGAGCTACTCTACAGGACAAGAAAGTAAATCAGCTTTTCTGTGATGAAGTCCAGAACTGTGTTTTACATGACCCAGTCATCTACAAATGCCTAAAACATCACGCCCACTACCACCGAGGCTCGTGGTCCCAAGTCACAAGCGGTTTCCTCAGTTGCCACCTTCACCATCACGAGCCACGTGGTTTGTGTCGCTCTTGACTTACTTTAACTTCCCTGGGCCTTGTCCATATCCTTTAGTCTCTAACTTCCTGTAAAAGTTCCTCAGTTTGGCTTCAAAATCTCGCTTGTAGGGGGCCGGAGCCCGGGCGTTGGCACGCTGAGTACCTGCGGCAGACAGCAAAAAGAGGGCAGCTGTGTTGGGGCTCATGCCTCCCGCCCCCCAGAACACAGCACCGTGGCGATACTCTTAGGCCAAGCACGACCCCCTCCGCAAGTGGCAGCATGCAGAAAAGCTTAGCCAGGGCCTCAGGAGAAGTCTTCTTGGCTGCTTTTCGGCTGAGAATAAAGATCTTGTGTGAATGGTTACAAGGACAACCGCGTGTTTCTGGGCTAAGTTCCCTTCTCAGTCCCCCACGTGTGAGTCAAGCAGCTACTCATGTCTAATGGTAACTGCGCAGCATGAAATCTCTCTGCTTGTGCTGTTGAAGTCACAGCAGGGGGCAGAAGTTACAGTGTGAAAGTTCAGGAGACAGAGGGCAAGGAGGGTGTGCTTATGTCATGCGCCCTACATCCTTACCAAAGCAGCCCCACACAAACTTCTTCTCCATATTCACTATAACTAAGCATGATTTCAGACACACAGCTATGTACACTTCTAAGTTCAGTCAGCTAATTTTAATATGAATATAGAATTCAAATGTAACTGCAGAAGACCCATGTCACCCGCTTACCTGAACAGATGCTAACATTTATCACATTCTTAATGCACCAGCTACAGTATCTACAGATTATCTAAAGATGCTCATGTCCTTCCATAGCCAAGTGTTATTACTAAAGTGTGAAAGTGAGCCGGTTTCTTCCTCTTTCACAGAAAAATCTGGCTTTGTGTCACAGTGTGACGAGGCAGCCAGGAGGGACATTACATTGATGATGGATATGGGAATGGGACCCAGAGGCGTCACAAAAACTACTGGAGGCTTCCACTAAATATTTCCCAACAGAATGAAAACAACCAGAAAACACCCACTGTGCAATCTCGCTCGTTACACACTGTGCAAATTCATTAAAAAGTTATTCCACAAGTGAATTGCATCATGGTTATTACTCATTGCTACTACTGTGTAGGTTCAACAACAGACGCCCACAATGAATCAGGTGGAGCTGCTGCCAAGGGTATTTTTGCTGGGGAGACAGAAATAAAACACACTAAACAATTAGAGGAGAATTAAATCCTAAACAAGACGACATACAAACATGAAGCAGGGGAGACAAAATACAGCCCTGGGGCTCTACCCAGGCCTAGAGGTCTATTTTGTCTGCCCTACATGTTAAAAGACCTTAAAGTAATCACCAACATTTAACAGTTACACTGTATTTCAAGTTAAAATTTCAAGTTTCAAGTTTCTTTCTCTTGAAAACTATTTGGGGACTTTTTTTAAGGTTGTTATGTCTGATTTATCTCACTTAACATTACAGTCTCAAGGTAATCATTTTGATAGCTTATATTTACATTCAAATTCACAGATTTTTTTTTTAAAACTCAACGAAAATATTAACTTGACGTTTCCAGGGAAGTGAGTGGAAAGTCTTTTAACAGTTTATTCTTTTTTATTTTTCATTTTAAATAAAAGAAAAATAAACTATAAAAACAATGGTATAAAATTTCAAAACAAGATTGTAGGAGAGTAACAATGTTTAGTACACTGCATATTGCTATCTTCAAAGTCGTTGCTCAGATTACAATATATAATCTGCTTGTGCTTGATCGGGCATGCCAGCCCGATCAAGCAGTGTAGGCATATGCCCTTCCTTTCATTGAGCTAATAGCAATTAGAATAACTATCGTAACTATCGTATGTGTGTATATGTATGTGTGTGTGTGTATATATATATATATGTATTTATTTATCTATTTTTTCCTTTCCCCTTCCTTCTTTTCTCCTTTCCCCCATTCCAGTTAATCTTTCCTTTTGAGCATTTTTTTCCCATTTCACAATAGCTATTGTACCTTTTAGATTTTATTTACTCTTTTGGCTTCTTACACTACGGAGACGATAAGATGCTTACACATGCAAGACTGATTTATTTCACTTACGAGTATGGACCTAATATTTGGGGACTCTTACAACCGGCTTGCATGTCCCTGGGGAGCCATGGGCAGTGGGCCGTGCACTCTGCCTCCTGGGTATTTGTACTGAACACTGGAGATACAGAAAGGCGCAGAGACCGTGAGTGGCACGGGTAGAGAGAAAGACAGAGAGGACCCAGGAGGGGGCCTTCTGGGAAGCAAACGGTGTGGATGGGAGAGGGTCTCGCCCGCCGGGGCAGGGCTGCGGGAGCCGGATGAGCACACCCTGCATGTTTGGAGGAGGCTGAGGAGACCCCACTAACCTGGGAGTCAATAGGAAATTAAATCGGCCAGGAGGGCTGGAGCCAAAGTAGAGGATTTGAAAGGCCTAGCTAGCTTGCATGTGAGCAGAGGACAGACGGAAGCTCCTGAGGTGGGAGTAGCACACAGTGGTGTACTGCAGAAATCATTTTCAGAATGTGCTGGGCAGATGGAGGGTGAGAAAGAGGGAAGGAGAGACTGGAGGGTGGAGGCACAGGTAGGAGCGGTTGCAGCAACTGAAGCCTGCGAGGAGACTGCCTAGTGGAGTGTGGTGGCTCAGAGGGCCATGCACAGTGGGAGCCACGCCCCAGGGGCCACAGAGACAAGTAGGAGGGAGTAGCGGGCTCTGAGGACGATACATTAGCAACCGAGACAGGCGCTGTGACCGGAGAAGTTCTTGTTACACAAGAGGGACGATGCTCTTTACACTGGGATCTTGAGAAATCCTCACAAGTCTGGAAGAGGCTGTTGTTATTATGACCATCATCATCATCACCTGCACCCAAGGAAAGGAAGATGCCACTTCCTGTCCCATCACTTGGCAGTGACAGTAGGTTCAGGACCCGTGCCAGGTCTCTCTGAGGCGAAGGAGTGTGGGAAGTGCGCGGCACACAGGCAGGTGCGGCTGCGGGCACTCCAAGCTGGGGATGACTGCACACTTGTGTCTGCAGCACAAAGCCCTGCACAAGGGGTAGATGTTATTGTTACTGGCACAGAGGCACCTCTGCTCAGAGGTACAGAGCTGAACACAGGGGGAACTGTGTCGGAATTTTATGAGTGGATCTTTACAAAACTGGCTACTGACCAACAGTCTGTCTGGAGGTCTGTTTACAGAGTTGTGATGTGTGTGTGTGTGTGTGTGTGTGTGTGTGTGTGTGTGTGTGTGTGTGGTACTAGGGATCAAATCCAGGGCCTCTGCACTAAGCTATAATCCAAGCTCCCTTTTTTAAAATTTTGAGACAGAGTCTCACTAAGCGGCTCAGTTGCCCAGGATGAGCTAGAACTCGAGCTCCTCCCGCCTCAGCCTCCCTGTGTGCTGGGATTCCAGGCATGCACCACCACACCTAGCTAATTATGAATCCTTTAACTAAAGAGCTGAGAATTATGGCATAAAGAAAATGAATAAACTAGACTTAATGGGTCTAGGGAGCAGAAGAGACCCCTAGGCAGTGGTGCCCCACCTTGCCCGCATACTGGGCTCATGCAGGAAGTCACACATCCATTAGAATCTGTGGGGTGGCCCTGGCAGAAGCGTTCTCTATAGCTTTCCAGAGGATTCCAGCGAGCAGCGGTGGCTGAGAACCACTATTCCCTCGCAGGAAGGAAGATCAAATGGAACCAAAGAAAGATCTGTCTCCCTACTTCCTATTACCTTTACCTATTTTTTATTTGGCTCTTTATTTTCACACTGGGTTTCTCGTATTAGAGAAACCACGTGATATTTAAACTTGAGTGTCTGGTTTATTTCACTTAACATGGACTCCAGGTGCATCCACCCATTTTCCTACAAGTGACGTATTACGGCAAAGCAGAGCCCCATGCTGTATAAATGCCACATTTTCTTTACCCATTTATCTGTTGATGGACATATAGGCTGCTTCCCAGATTTAGCTCTTAAGAATTGTGCTGCTATAAACATGGGCGTGCATGTGTCACTGTAATATGATGTCTTCAACTCGTTCAGGAGGATACCTAGAAGGGGAATAGCTGGGTCAAATGGGATTTCTAGTCAAATTCTTGAAACAAGTCACGTGCTACTGCCAGGTCCAGGACAGACAGGATGCTATTTCCACTTTGGAAACCAAAAATGTTCTTAGAAGACTGACCATTGGAATTGCAGGGGAACCATAACTTCACGAGAAGTTCTAGGACATAACACTCTTACAGAGAGAGCACTTTTACGATCTTGACGTTTTACAAAAGGAAATCAGCTACACAAAGGTCAATGCTACATCTAAGTGATCACATTAAGACCTGACCTCCTGGATGGTGGGCGTTATGCTAATTTTTGTCAGGGAAAAAACCTCAGCAGCAGACACTAGGGCTTTCTCTCTCTGTCATTGCTAGGTTGACCAAAAGCACTTTCACAGAGCAGTATTCTATTTCCATGTACTGTTACAAAACTGCGTCATATCCAAGCGGAGGAACTCCATCTCAAAAGACACTGGAAAAATGCTGGCCTCAAACTCCTGAGAAGTCTGGGAGCTTGTCACCGTGGGTGTGAACCTGGGAACGCGGGTGGCTTTGAGGACTGACACTGGCTCTGCACTGGCTCTCTCAGAGTTTGGCCTGACCGACACAAATCCTGCCCCACGCCTCCATCCCGGGATGGCCTGCACGCCCATTTTTCCTGGGTTTACTTCAAAAACACACGTACACACAAAACCCTGCGATTTTTTTTTTCTTTTAATTCCTGGTTAACGATCAGGAACAAATCATCAGGCATTCCTGTAATTTCTGGGAGGCTCTGTTTTCTAAAATACAACTCACCACTGGAACTTCAGGGGACAAAACCAAAAACCATGTACCCTGGAATTAAAACCGTGGCGGAAAGCACGAGCACCGGAGTCTTCGTGTGCTTTCTTTACTCTCCGAGAGCACTGGGAGGGCCTCGGGCCATTTTTCAGGCTTGTGGATATTCATGAACACGCAACTTACTGAAGACAACTGGATGTGCTGATTTCTCAGACCTTGGCCAGGAAGGGCCCTATTACTAGGGAACACGGGAAGGTATGCCAGGAGCCGACATCCTGACTGCACCAGGGAGGGCAAGGGAGACAACCGACCGAAAACAAACCCTCTGCTGAGAACCGGGAGGAGAGGGAGAACGAGAGGGAGGTGGCAGAAAAGAGAGAGTGGGAGTGAGGACCCGGATGTACATCCCATGAGATGCAAAGACTTTGGGCGGAGAGAGAGGGGCAGGTAGATCCCACTCAAGCAGTCCCGCTACGTGCTGCAGGCGGTACTGCTGTCCAGAGACCTTCAGAAAGGACCTCATGACTTCCATCCCCTTTGAGCCTGCTTCCTTCTCTGGAGTGCGACCCAGCGCTGTGCTAGCTTCCGGCTGGTCCCGTTCTGCTCACGCACTCCCAGCTCTGCACCCAATTCACCGGCACAGCGATTCCCCCGAACCACAGAACATGCACGCGGCTGTGCCCATAAAGCAAGGAGAAGCGGGATGTATTTCAGAGCTTCAGCAAACAGCGGGTTAAACAAATTCTTATGCTCCGAACGTCACAGCTCTGGTTACCTGGAAAATTCACATAAGACAGCACATCTCCAAAAATATTAGACGAATTAGGTGTTATTGAATTTAAATTCCTAGAAATGTGCAGCTTAAATAAACCTCTGGGCCCGCTCTTTGGCACAGTAGACCATATGGCATAACTGAGGTTGGGATTGGCATGATAATGGTGCTAGAAAAATAAACCTTCACATTGCAGAATTTTGACAAATTTTAGGTGAGCACTTTAGCAGTTGCAAAAAGCAGTGAGTCAAAGTTTCCGAAGCCCCTCTCTCTTCCGTACCCAGAGAGACGTGTGAATGTGCCCGGGATGGCACAGTGTGGAAACATCACCAGGTTCCCGGGCATTCTGAACGGAGACCATTCAAATTTATGACGGTCATAACTTCCCAGTATCATTCTCACACCACTGAAAAGGGTGAAACTGTAGCTACAAGCACAGGGTCAGATCGCTTTATTTTTAAAAATCTGTTTGAAATGTTGCTTTTTTGTTTCAGGGCCAGGGATCTAGCTCAGCGGCACAGTGCCTGCCTGGCAAGCGTGAGGTCCTGAGTTCGATTCCTGGGTCCAAAAATAAAAAAATAAAAAATAAATTTTAAAAAATGAAATGTTGCTTTTTTACAAGACCTCCAGGAATACCGCTAGATGAGGAAGCTGTTTTATGTAAAGAAACAGAAGATTCCTCCATGGCCAAAACGAGGCTGGTGAGTCCCGCCCCGGCACGAGCTGCAGCCGGCACCTGCTGTAAGCCAGCAGCATGTCCCAGCCTCCAGTGCGGGTCAGGAATACGGCCTGGGCTGATTCCTCCCGAAAAGACCACCGCAGACACGGCCCCAGCTTCGATGTGCTCGGAGGACAGGTGTCTTTGGAAAGTGCCGCCCACTAAGTAGTTGAGGTTCCCAAAATGCGTCTGGTCACCAGCACGCAGTAACTGGTGTGCACTTGTGACCCTACATAAAGATGGGGACTTGGTCAGCAGCTAGGGCGTTTGCGCAATTTCAAGACCGTCCAGCCAGGATTCAGAGCACAGCTTTTATAGTCCTGGCAGAGATGGAAGCTGGCGTTCTGCCTCTTTCTCTGGAAGGGCGGGGCTCAGGAAAGGCTTGCAAAGGACAGCCTTGGCTGTCATGAGCAAAGTCCTACATTGCTCCGTTCCTCCTTCTAGGTATCTTCCCAAGAGGGTTAGAGACGTCACACCACTGTGACACATACACACCCACGTTCAGAGCAACACAATTCGTGATAGCTAAATCTTAGAAGCAGCCCATATGTCCATCTACTGACCAGTGGGTTTAAGAAACTGTTATTTACACACACTGGAGCACCACTCTGCCATAAAGAAGGATACACTTGAGTCATTTGTAGGAAAATGGGTGCACCTGGAGACCACAATGTTAAGTGAAATAAGTCAGACACACAAGCTTAAATATCACATGGGTTCTCTTAAGTAGGAAACCCAGAGGAGAAACAAGAAAATAAAAGATAACAGGAAAAAGGAAGATAGATCTTTTGCAAATGGGAAGGGGACCAAGAGATGTGGGGAGGGGCCACCCCGCGGCCACCGACAGACACAAGCTCCACTCTGCCCTGAAATCCGGTCCCTCGCGCCTCTCCTTCAGCCAAGGCTGTCCTTTGCAAGCCTTTCCTGAGCCCCGCCCTTCCAGAGAAAGAGGCAGAGCGCCAGCTTCCATCTCTGCCAGGACTATAAAAGCTGTGCTCTGAATCCTGGCTGGACGGTCTTGAAATTGTGCAAACGCCCTAGCTGCTGTCCAGTGCGCTGGCGCATCCCCTCCACATCTGACCAAGCGCTCTGCGGGCCTGGCCCCACCTTCCGCTGTCTGTCACTCTGCAATGGGTCGTCGTCCTCACGTAGCACATGATCTGTTAGTGCATTGATTGGCCCTGCTTGGGATAAGGTGATTTATGACTTCACACTTTTCAAAGCTAACAGCCTCGCTCTGACTCCACCCTTCCTGGACCCATGAGCACCTGGCTCTGTGAGCCGCACCTCCCAGGAACCCAGCTCCCCAGGAAAGACTTCCCTACGCGGATCCTGGGACCCATAGCTCGCGTCCATCCATGAGCTCCTCCACCCAGGCCCTAACCTGCAGCCTGAGGCTCCTCACATCCCCGCCTCTCCTTGCCTCATGGTCTGGTCTTCCCCTCTCTGCTCTTCCGGGCTTCCCCGGCCACTTGTCACTGAATTCCTAGCTGCACCCTCTCCCGCCCTTCACGAGCGTCCTTCCAGCTGTCTGTGGGAGTCTCCAACTGACAGCCAAAGATTCCTCAGCAACGCAGGCCCAAACCAGTCCTCTCCCCCTTCCCTCCTAAACCCACCATTTTCCTTCTTGGTAAGTGGAGCTGACATCTGCCTGGTAGTGCAGCTCATGAGTCCGCCTCGGTCCTCCCCCACCTGGGCTCACAGTCCTGGGACACTCGCAACCTGAATTCCTTCGCTTGTCTCCCGTCACAGGCCTCAGGCAGCCGCCTCCCCAACACCCCGGCCTGGCCTGCAGGAAGAACTGTTCCACACCCGTGTTCCCAGAGCCCTCCGCACCAGGGGACGAACCACAGAGCGCCACGCAGACGGTGCTGACTCACCGCCCCACCACAGCGCTTCAAAGGCAGACGGTATTGTTCATCTCTGCCACGGGTCACATTCCGTGCTTGATCACAGTCGGATGCCCCATAAACCTACACTATATGAACAAGCTGATGGATCTCTTCCTGTCTGGGTATGCAATTAGGATGCCGTGTGTTATCACAGCCGCAGGTGAAGACACATGTTACATATCAAAGAACCCGCAGCAGCTTGCAGGGACACATTGGAAGTTCGGATTTCTATTGAAATAGTCTCAGTTCTGGTAGCTGTTAAACTGTGAACAACATGTTGCCTGTTAGTAAGAGTAAATGTATTTGCTGTTCTGTCAGCCCAGCTCTACCTTCCTTAAAACACTCCTTTGCTAAGCTTCGTCTTCGACCACTTCTTCATGAATGGGACATTCACTTACCCCATTAGTCCTTAATTCACATTTACCTCTTTCAGAAAGAGTCAGGCCTATGAATATGTGTTCTATCTGCCCATTTATCTGCTTTTAATTTTCCAGTCTAATGCAGGTAGTTCATCCCGCAGGACAAATATCCAAGTCCATTACACTGAACGCCTTTCCTTCCATTTTATGCAAATTCCATTTTATTTCCGGATGGTGATATTTTGTTATTGTCTGTCCAACCTGCCTCCCCACTAGAATTTTTAACTCCAGAAAACCTAACATACTGTTCTGTCCCTCAACACTTGCCAAGCTGTATTTGCTCCTACATAACATCATGAAAGTAAAGTCCATATCTGAGTGCATCCTACTATTAACTTTTACTGTCAACTCATTATCTGTCCAAATTAAGTCCCCATGGCAGCAAGCACTCTGAAGGGACGGCGGCCACCACACAAGCAGCAGCTGTGCTAGCCCTAAAGATGAACCCCATGCTCCCCATGGTCTCTGTGAAGGACAGGGTGACCGATGTGGGGCCCACTCCTTAGGCCATCACGGGCAGCAGCAGACTCACCTGGTGAGTTCTGGGGTGAGGACACAGGGGAGCCACGCGGGGACTGACAGTAGCTGGGGTGGAGTAAGGCGTGTGGAGGCACGTATGACATTATCTCTTCTTCAAACAAGCTGTGGAGACAGGAAGCAAAATACACATTTTAGTCAACGAGGTGTTTCCCTGATTAGCAGAGATGTCAACCCCTCATGCCGACCTGTTCCATCAGAGGTCTCTTCTGTTCTCCTCTACCAGGATCTATAGAACCTTCCTTCCATAATTTTATATTTTGTAGCACACATTTATTATCTATCTATCTATCCCGATACGTATATGTATATAGAGATAAATAATACGCAATTGCGTTATGCATGGTTAAAACTATATAAAGCTCTGTACGTACATGCCATTCTTGAGATCTTTCCTCATTCAAAAAATTGTTAGTCCTGATAGCTATGTGAATAACAAAAATTGTTAGTTCTGATAGCTATGTGGATAACTAGGATCTCCAGTGTTTGTCCCTTTTGCTTGCCAGAGAGCAGGTAATTCTATGAATAAATCAGTTTACTTATCTGTACCTGTTTTACAACTGGGTGTATCTATCAACAATGGTACAATGAATGCCCCCTCTATGTCAACTTGTAAATGCATAAAAAAGTTTCTTGGCGTAAACACAATGTACTCCTTAAAGACAAAGAAGAGCTGCCCAGTCAAAATGCTTTTACCTTTTCAGCTATGCAAGAGACTATCAATTAACTAACTCACTCCAAGGTTATAGAAATGGCAGCCCCACCCAGCCCAGACAGTAGGATATGTATATGTAATATATATATGTATTTCTCTTTTAGTACTATCAGACTTCTGGATTTTTCTCAAACCTAGTAGTGTGAAGCATATCTCATGATGTGAAATTGCATTTTATGATTATTAGCATCTTTCCATGAGTTTATTGGCTATGTATGCTTCAAGTTCTTTGATCTTTTCGTATCCTTAATCATATTTCTTTTGTGTTCTCTTAAAATTATTTAAGGGCATTCTTCATCTATTCGTGTCTCTTTGCTTTATGTGTTGTGAATATTGTTCTTCCACTTTACTACCCTTCATCCTTGTATGTGGTATTTTGCACTGTACACACTTATTATTCATGTGGCCAAATTTACCAATGAGATACGAGACCTGCAAGAAGTACTTGCTTTATACAACTGGAGTTATTGAGTTATTTACATGGAATAATCAATAAAAACACAAGATCATTTAAAAATTCTTGTGTTTATAACAGTCATATTAGAAAATAACTTTCTAGGGGCTTATTTTGAATTGAATAATGTCCTAGAGGTGCATTTTGGCTTATGACAATAAAGCACATTTGTGCCAGGAGTGATTTTCCTTTTTTTTTTTTTTTTTGGTTTTTCTCTGGTACCAGGAACCGAACTCACGACCTTGCGCTTGCCAAGCAGGCGCTTTGCCGCTGAGCTAAATCCCCAGCCCTGATTTTCCTTTTTAACAAACGAACAAACTGTAAAAGCAGATGCAAATCTTCACTCTATATGCCATAAGAACACTGAGTTCATCATCACTGACTGAAACGGCTCAAATTCCAAAATGCTATAAAAATAATAAATTGGAGATATGAATAAAACACCTACATTTTCAATAATTATTAAATATTACTTCTAAACAAGTACATATAACACATTACTACCTTGTATATTATTAAAATAAACAATGTACTTGGTTGAAATAAAGATCTAGAACTGAAAACATCATTTGTATGTAATAATCACAGAACAAACATACATGCGTGAATTTCTCATACTTCTCCCATGACCCACAAAGCTTCAGACACATGCTTATTCCCCAGATGGGACAATGTGGCCTTGCTCTTCCTATAAGAGTTTCAGATATTTTTGAATTCAACTACGTAATACAAAAATTCAAGCAAAATGTGGTGTTTATCAAAGTGCAAATATTCTAAGGTCTAGTGTAATAAGATAGTTAAGAATATTCATCTACAGATGACTTAATAAACAGAGGTAAGGGATAATCATGAGTATTTTTTTTTACTAATTCCAAAAGCAGAACTCATAGCTTAAATGAAACCAATTGAGATCTGTAGAATGAAGCAAGAGTTACATCCTACCCAGGATTTTGTAACAAGGTTTTAACTGTTTTATCACCAACCAAACTTGGAACACCCTGCGGTGTGTACAGGCCATCTAGCAAGCTGCACGGTGCCTTCAAAACCGGCTCCATGGCCTGAGGCAGGGGCAGCCTAAGACCCGTAGTGCTGTTAGGAATCAAGGGAAGCGCGCTGTCCATGGAGAGTAACTGCATCCTTTCCAGTTGTGCTTCAACTACACACTAAAGGGAAATAACTTTTTGGTGACAATCAAGTGAGCAGTCAAAATACAGCAACCAATATGGTAACTGTGGAGTGGAGAGCAGGAAATGGTCAGGTCAAGAACTTCGTGAGAAACCTGAGTGCAGTAGTCAGCACTGGGGGATAAACAAAAACAGAGCCTTATTGGCTTGGGGTCGCATCCCCCTAGGTGCCGTGGCAACCTCAGTGAGGGGCGTCCCAGGCACGGGGCAGAGCACAATATTCCTTTACTCCGGCGTCCTACCTGTGAGGGGTAATACTAAAAATAAGAAAATCTTCTGAAAACCCGACAGTTTCCCTTCTCCACTACTCTAAAATTTAAAGCCAAAGCCAATCTAGCCATCACAAAAGGAAATGCAGGGGGTTGGTTGTACGAAGGGCTATCAAGCTGGCAGTGAGTGGAAGGACCAAATTTCAACTTTGTGATCTGCTTTCCCCAGGCTAAACTCTCAAAACCACAAAGTAAATAAATAATACCTTGAATCAGCAGAAGGACGCAAAGCACATTTTGAGAAAAGAATGGAAAGAAAATATAAATATGCCCTCTTTTCAACACCAAGGGGGGTAGCCATGAGTACCTTATTTGGTTACCCTCCCGGTCCACTGAGTGGGACATCTGATCGGTCTCTGCAGCGGTTCCCCCCACACCACATCCTTTATAGCAGGGGCGACAAATGCAAAGTAAACGAAGCTCGCTAGAGCAGCGCCCTAATTCAGCATGAGTATTTCCTTCAGCTGCTAAGGACAAAAGAGACATTTTGAGGCTACCAACACAGACATGTTATTTTCCAAAATGCTCCACTATAGCTTACGACAGGGGGCTGTCACCAGTGGCCCCAGTGTCACCTACCTCAGCAGCATCACAAGGTCTGCATCACTCGAGAGGCGCACCAATCCTGGGGTCCCTTCTGTTCTGATAAATTGGATCTTCTCCCTATCCAGACAAAGAAACAGCTTAGAATATATACAATAGGCTTTTGGAAAATAACTCGGTGGTCACGCACATTGTTCGTAACGGCCACAGCAGTTCTTGGGACCTCATGCGGCAGCCACTCTGTGATCCCCGGGAACACACATCCCCAAGCCTCATGGTCCTGCCTGCAAGAAGGATCTGGTGAGCGTCCATGCCTCCCACTTCTAACACTTTGGGAGAGATGATTTGATCATCTGGACATTTTGCTGCCTAAGTACCGGTGGTGATCTGTACCTTTTTTGAGTTTGGGTGGGAGTCTGGACAGGGCGGCTGGGCGGCTGGGCAGCTGGGCGCAGGTAGTGTTCCCGTTTCTGAACTAGGGATTTCACTATGGAGCAGGGCTGTTCACCCGTTTTCTTAGGCTAATGGGTGCTTTGCTGCTTCTGGGTCTGGCCCTCTTTTTGGGCTTTCTCCAGTTGGGCTGGCAGCTTCTGGTGGGCCTGGGTGAACACGAGCAAAGCAGTGCAATCCAAACAATAAATCCACTTGGAGGTAAGGCCAGTCTTAAGCCTGCACCTAAGCAACAGTTCTGAGCTGCACTCCTACTTCCTCTAAAAAGCAGGGTTCGTCCTTTGCTGTCCAAAAAGGGGAGGTACAGGGATATAATGTTTCCCTGAGGATTTATCTTTGGAATCAGATAGTATTTATGCCTTATGACTTCAATACAAAAGCATATGGCTTCTTAAATAAGTGAGAAACTGAAGCACTGTTTAGTTACACAGTTAGTGAAACAGATAGTACACATACTCGTGTGTGTATATGTATACCTGTGTACGCGTATATACACTTACACCATATACATATCGAACACAGCATGGTTTCTACCATTATTTTATCACAGATAGAAAGGTAACACCAGTGTTTTTTTTCTTGAGTCATCTTCCTTCATGGTACTATTTTCAGCTTGTCACATGAATATATTTTTAATAAAAATTTTCCCAGTTGTTTTCTCTCATTTACCTCATACCATTTCAAAGAACATCATATTCTTTTTTATAAGATGGGGGGAAATAGCATTATCTACGGTACTGACGCCATTACATTTGATTGGAGCATGGATACCAATAAGACACCTAATTTTACTCTGAGTGCCAAGGACAATATATTCTGACCATTGTGCTACTAAGTAAAAATCAGTCTTCGATATCTTTATTTAGATTTAGTTCTTATCTATAGAGCATCTTGATTTTCTCCTTGATTTTCATAAAGTTCCACTGCATTTTAGATTTCCTAATTCCAAGTTAGGAAACTGCTTACCAACTAGAAGGCAAGATTTACTTGTTTAGATGGAAAATTCCCCAGTTCACAGAAAGCAACTTGCTCTTAGCCATGCGGCTTACGAGGCGTGGTACAGAGTTAAGTCCTCACTTTCTTCCGGCCGGATTCCTCTAACATAATATGTTGGTATGTGAAGCATTAAGTCTTCAGTAGTGGCCAATTTTCTTTTCTATCCTTTACTGCCAGAGCTGATTAATATTCTTTAAAAGACTGTGAAGAAGTGAGTGGTGGACACATACTGCTCATGCTAAGGCCAGAACCCGAAAGGACACTTTCCTCCAGCAATGGATCATGCATCTGAAGGCCCACTATCTGCTGAATGGCTTTTCTGATAAGAGATATAAACACTGGCTTCAAAAAGCTAAATTAGAAAAAACTACCTAGGAGAAAAAAGGACAATTACTTCACCAAAGTACTTCTGTGAGGTTTCGTGTAGCACCAGGGAGACTCCAAAGTTGTCTCCAACACACTGTATCAGCACAGTTCAGCCTCACAGTGAAACCCAGCAAATAGGATGAAACCGAAAAGCAAACAGTCTGAGCTCTCTCCTACCTGCCTGGACTGAAGAGAGCTATGAATGGGCTGAAAAAGCATGTGCCGGACTATGGCCTGCAGATTTCCTGTGAATAAGAAAAATGTCACTGCCCCACTGAGTCACAGGATGATGTGGCCCAGAAAGGAAGCGGGGAGGAAGTGTGCCAGCTGGGAAACTCTCCACTGCATCCAGCCACGCACCGCTGGGCGGCGGGGGCAAAGGGCCATGCTCCAGGGGAGAACGCACCACAGGCACGCGAGGAGAGTCTCCAATCTGCCACAGCGACAGCTGTGGGCGGACTGGAACCACCTGGGGCACGTCACACCCCTGAGTACTCTCTCACACTAATATTCACTCAATTCTCAGCGAGCGTTTTCTGAGCACCTCCTATGGGCGAAGCCCCGTCCTACACAGTGGGATCTCCACAGGGGCTGAGACAAAATAGGAAATCAAGGAGCTTGCGGCGCAGGAGAAGAGAGAAAGTCACAGGCAATTCCAATACTAGGGGAAACTGCAAAGTGTCCTGTCCTCTGATCTGAACTCTCGAGGCCCTACCCTGGCACGCCGTCTAGGAGACGCTTTGTGAAGTCCTCTCATGTAACACAAGGGCATTACTTTCTTGATGATCCAGACAGCACCTCAGGGTGGAGGAAGAAGGAGAAATAGGCTGATGTCTCAGAAATCCTCAGAAATGTTACATCTTTTCTGAGAATGAAAAAGGAACTGCTCCCTGGTTATCAGATATTTGCCCAATCTTCTGCAGACCAGTGTTTCTCAAACCCATGTCTTTGTCTATGAGAAATCTTCAGGCAGGATCCTGAATTCTGCAAGAATTTTTAAATTTCATGTTTCCATGCTGTGATCAAACTGCCTAAAGTGACAGAAGTGAATCTGTGTAACACAGATGTCACTGTCTGAGCCCTGCTGCGTGACTCAGCTTCAGGTCTGCATTTATGGGTTTGCATCCAAGCAGAGGAAAAGACTCATGGGGCCGGGCCTGGTGGCGCACACCTGTAATCCCAGCACTAGGGAGGCTGAGGCAGGAGGATTGTTGTGAGTTCGAGACCGGCCTGGGCTACAAAGTCAGCTCAAGGCCAGCCTGAACTGCATAGTGAGACCCTCTCTCAAAAAGACTTGTGGGGAGTGAGCAAGAGAGGGCAGTTCTGGCTGTCCCTGGTGAAGGGGCAGAAGCAGTCCCTGTGTGTCCACAGGCATAGTTCTCCCAAAAAACAGAAGGACAGTTTTCCTGGTGCAACATCAATTTGCACCATGAAAAGGATCGAATGGGACTAAGTAACGTAAGTAGCCTCAGGCTAAAGAGAAAACAGAAGAAACAGATTATAAAAGTAAATTATTCACTTATGCTAAATAATGCACGAAAGATATCACAACTTCTCCCAAGAACAGCAGCGTGGCAGCAGTCTGCAAAAGGGAAGGTGGTGGCGGATCCCACCCATGCCAGTTCTTCCTCAGTATCGCACTTGGGGAAACACCATCAAACAAACTTTCATAAAAGAAGGAATCAGCAGATACGAAGGGAGCATGGTGACAAGTGTAATGCCACAGACACGTGATGGACCATGAGAGGCGAAATAAAATGAACCAGATCAAACAGCAGCGACAAAAAACACAAATAAGCCCTTGCACTGACCACGGTTTCAACATCAGTACTTCGGCTTCTGCAAACCAAACTGTCCTCACATGAAGTACTCATTCAAATGCTATTCATTTCCTTAATTTTTACTTAATTCATGTATCTTCTGGCTTATAGTTTATAAAAATTGTAAGCATAAGAAATCTGTAAATACAGATACGTGGTTCAAGTCAACGTGATGGGTTTGCAAGATTTCTTCTGCTTTTAAGAGTGGAAAAGAACAGCTTCGACTCAAATTTCCATGAGTTCACTAGGGGTTTTGAGTTCATTAGTCAGAGAAACGCTGTTGCAGATGTATCTGCCTGGGGATGTCTGAGCCTTACTTGAAGATGTTTATCAGGCTGACTGGCTAACGCATGGCATTAGAAGGGATCTGTGGCGTGAAGAAATGTGTTGAATCCTAGAGGGTGGTGATGGGGATGCTGATTTCCCTGCAGTGCAGAACTTGTGGGGGGCAAAAGCCCCTGCTCCCCCGTCTCTGGCTCCCGGCACTGGGCTGCGCACACAGTCACCACTTGGCTAAAGACAAGCCGAAAACATGACCCGCGGGTGCCCAAACAACAGGTCTCCTCCTCACCTTCCACTCCGTGTTTGGGATCAACAATCTCGCTATCACATTCTGCTGTGGCAGGGGGAAAAAGACACTCAGAAAGTTGACGTCAAGTGATTTACTAAACCAGAGTCCACCGAGGGAAGTGCAAAGACAGGTAAAGCAGCAATTTTTTTTTTTAAGAGGCAATGTGTTAGTAAGAAAACCCACAACTTAAAACACAGTGCTAAACTGCACGGCACAGCAGTTTAGGAAAAAAGTCGCTAGCTAGCGCTGTCACTCAGATTCACAATATTTAGGCTGTGCAACCACTTCCTCCCACACACGGAGCCACCCGCAGGAGACCAACGCGAGCGGATCATCCGAGGACAAGGAGCACAGTCTCAGGCTGGAATTCCCACAGGAAATACTCTCCCTGAAACCTGAAGATGGGCACGTGCTCTACACTCTGCGCCCTCAGGTTCCTGCAGATTCAGCTTAGGGACACATTACAGACACAAGTCCCTCAAGCTGCTTGAGGGCAGTTTAGAGAAGTGACTTCCCCGTGATCTAGTGTCAGGAAGGGAAGATGATCACTGACCACTCAGACTCGTCATTATAGGCAGCGGGCGCCCTCTGACTTTACTGACAGCCAAGCACTAGAAAAGCTCACTTTTCCTTCTACCTCTATTATACAGGTTACATTTGGACGTTTAGGTCCTTACGGCTATGTGATTCTTAGGGATTCAAAGGAGTCAGAAAAATTAAGAGTACAATTTGTTGTAAGTGGGTATAAATCATCTCCAGGCTACAAACTAAGAATTGCTTAATTCTCTTTGCTTGTTTCCTCACCTTCAGCACAATTATAGAATGCAAATAAAATACTTAGCCCAGGGCCCGTGTAAGACTTGAAGAATTTAAACTATTGAGTACATTATTAGGCAGGCCTCACAATGATTTATTCT